CAAGCCTAGTGGATTGAGTTCTGCTTTTGAGAGGCTGCTGAAGGAGGCCGCTAATACTTCACCCCCTAAACCAAAGAGTTCAGACCGTGCAGTAGCTAGGGTTGCTGAGATGCCAGTTGAAGGTGTGACCTATCAGCGTGGTGCAGAGTCACCTCAGGAGGTCAGTGAGACCATAGAAAGAGCAGTTGCTCCATCCAAGCCCAGTGGATTGAGTTCAGCTTTGGAGAAGCTGCTGAAGGAGGCCGCTAATACTCTACCACGTGAACCAAAGGTTTCAGACCATGCAGTAGCTAGGGCTGCTGAGATACCTGTTGAAAGTGTGACCTATCAGCGTGATGTAATGTCACCTCAGGAAGTCAGTGAGACTATAGAGAGGTTGGTTGTTCCATCCAAGCCCATTGGATTGAGTTCTGCTTTGGAGAAGCTGCTGAAGGAGGCCCCTGAAACTTCACCTCCTAAACCAAAGAGTTCAGACTGTGCAGTAGCTAGGGCTGCTGAGATGCCAGTTGAAGGTGTAATCTATCAGCATGATGCAGAGTCACCTCAGGAAGTCTGTGAGACCGTAGAAAGAGCAGTTGCTCCATTCAAGCCCCAGGGATTGAGTTCTGCCTTGGAGAAGCTTCAGAAGGAGGCCGCTAATACTTTATCACGGGAACCAACGAGTTCAGACCATGCAGTAGCTGGGGCTGTTGAGATACCTGTTGAACGTGTGACCTATCAGCATGATGCAGTGTCACCTCAGGAGGTCAGTGAGACCATAGAAAGAGCAGTTGCTCCATCCAATGCTGAATATGATATATTTAATATTAATTTGCAGAAGCTTCTGAAAGAGGCATCTGAAATGCCATCTCCTGTTCTGAAAGATATAGATAAGGAAATGCAAGATGAAATCCAAATGAGACAAAGTACATATTCTCCCTACCAGCAAGAGAGAGATCATCCTCAAGAAATAAAAGAAACAATCAAAACCACTTTTGTTTCAACTCATACAAACTCTGAAGTCAGTAATTCCCTGGAAGAGCTTCTTAGGGAAGCATCTGAATATTCTCCAGTGTCCAAAGAGTTGCATGGACAAGAAAAGTTTCATGATCCTATGTCTGCATCAAAAAAGATTACTCTGTCCATGACAATGCCACCGCATTATCATAATGCTCCAAGTAACTATCATACAGAGATGAAAATAGATATCAGGAGGGAGACTTTGGAACAAAATGCCAAAAGTTCAGTGTCTGATTGCGTGGCCGATGATGTTAAAGCTTCTGATCTCCCTAAAAGAAATGTTACATTTTATAAAAGGGAACAGAGAAATATGGCTCCAGGAGATGTTCCCCCCGCAGAAAGAGAGACCAAGACAATTACAATCAAGTTGTTCAAGATGAATGAAAAATTAAAGACAGGTGGAAGCAGCACACCCTTGGTTGCTTCTGAAAATAATTCAGAATTAAAAGCACCATTGAAATTCAGAAGAACAAGCACACCCCTTAAGGATGAGAGTAACTTCCCTCAGCCAGAGGCAACACAACTCTGCCTAACATCTCGTCATGACAATGAAGAGGAAGGTGGCAGCTCAAGTTTGGGATCTGAGTTTTCAGATGAAAACTCTGATTCCCAGTCTGGAACCAGAAGTTCAACTTGTGAGCTGTTTAATTTCTAAAATTCGTGGTGTTTGGTAGTTAACCATGGCTACAATTTTTTTAACAACCATCTTGAAATATGAGAACTATCATATGAGATCAATTCTCTGATACTTACTTCCTTTATTGAATCTTTAGATATTTTGGGGGTGGGAGGGACAGATTAGGTGGAAAATGTTGTGATAAGCATGTACTGCATTGAGTAATCTTTTTTGATTAGGTCAAGTCTAGCAAAATTAATCAATTGTATGTTTTTGCATACCCTATGCAAAGGGTGCTTTACCTTTTGCTTCCTCCCTTATGACAACTCTTTCAATTTAGTAACATTGTATTGCTCATATATTGGTATTTCTTTTAAACATCCAAAAAAGACAAAGTAAAAAAAAAATAAAAAGTGGCTTTATTTTCTTTATTCTTTATTCTTGTCAGCTATGTCTTGAAAGTAAATTGGAATGGCTGGATATGAAGACAATACTGAAATATATTATTCCAGAGAGAACTTAGTGCTATTTTAATTTGGTATTTCTACCTGTTGCACTAAAATATTGTTGTAAAGAAGAAGTGATCCTTTACCAGGATTTTCACTGTTTGGTTAGATGACAGTTCTAGACCATGTATAAAGTGTGGCAGTCATTGAAGAGCTTAAGGCAGAGGAGATACTTTCTCAGGAACAGAATAAAAAGGCTACACTGGGAATTGACTTTCCTTGCATGGAGAAACTGAGAAATCTGTGAAGTTTCAAGGGTCTGCCAACTAACCATGTAGCGTTTTATTTAAGTGAGATACCAATGAAAGTCAATGAGAACTCTGATCTGCATGGCTGATAAGGAAGAGAGAAAGAGACTATGTTTTAACTCAGAGTTACAGCGTTGATCTCTGCAAGGCCTAGCTGGTTGGCTGGTGGGGGCAAAAGTGGGATAGGGAGAAGAGTCGGAAAAAAAAAATTTGAAGGAGCTGGATCTGCTTTGATATTGTCCTGGGAGACAAGTACATGCGAATTCCAGGAATCTGAATCTCTCCACCGCTGGGTTTCTTTATTCAAGTATTAAAATAGAAGCTCATTTTCACAGGGGAGGAAATAAAAGGACAAATTTACACAGAGAAAAAGCAAAACTATAACTTTTTAGGGCTGATTCATAAACATAACTCATTTTGAACATCTGTATCATAGAAGAATAGTATAATTTCTTACTTCTTTATCTCTAATTTTGAAGTAACTGAATACAATGCATCCCTCAGTTTATGACAGTGGATTTATTGTGTATTTTCACTGAATGTTCATTGTGCTTGCCAAAGGTCAAAATAGCTTTCTGTGACAGATTAGTTGTTTCTTTAGCGAGCTGTTTAAAATGGCATGTCCTTGGTGTGCAGTGTTCACATGTTTTGTCTTGTAACAGGTTCAGAAGAATTAAACCCTGTTTTGATGGCTTTGAAAAGGAGTGCAGATAGGAAAGTGCCTTCCAAAAGTCTAGAGGACATTCCATCAGCCACCTCAAGTGAGCACAAAGTTGTCTGTGTCTCCTATGCCCCCCAGTTTGGCTTAACTATATTCACGCTGTTCTTCCACACAGCTTTGCCAAATAACATTTTAGTACCCTGAACCTTGGCAGGAGATTCACTTTGAGAAAATAAGTAATTTTTTCTAAATACTACTCTCTATACTACTTACTGAGAAGCAAAGTAAGACATAAATATGGATTTCACTTTAAAAGTACTTCGTGTGCTTATTCAGAAAGTGAATTTTGTTTTCAGCTTCTTCTTCTGTTTTGAAACAACACTGGATTCAGGAAAAAAAAATGCATTATTTTAATCACTGATGAACTATTTCTTGGATAGTGCGAAAGTCTTACGTAGCAGAAGTATTGGCAAATACCCAAACTAGTAATGAACAAGAATTGCCCTTCTTTCTAGGCCACTTGCTTGGAACAAATCAGTAGAAGTATGAAAAACTCTAGTTAGTCTATTGGAGTTTCAAGTGTTTATTCTAGCAGTTAATATAACCAAACATGTATTAGAAGAAGCAGTGAAAATTTGCCTCTGTTTATTGGACTGTGGAGTTAATTTTAGGCCTCCATCTGCAGTCCCATAAGATTTTTTTTTGTTGTTGCTGTCTCCCTTTATCCTGCCCATCAGTGTTCTCAGTATTTTTTTTTTTATGTTTTCATGACTTCTTTCATGAGAAGACATAAAATGACTGTATATTTATAAACTGGAATTCGGAGGCATAGATTTTGAAATATGTTGGCTGTTGTGGACAAATTGCTCCTCTAATATTACTTACGCTATTGCATGCATCTAACTAGTTCGTTGTTTATAGGTATAGATGTACTAATATTGCTACAAGAACACTGATAGAAGCTGTGTCAGTGATTACATTCGAGATCCCTTCTGGGAAGCAGACTTGAAGCACTGCACTAAGTAGAAAGCATTTCTTGAATTTAACCATGTCAGCTCGGGGGTTTGCCCTCACTCCTACTAACTCCATGGCTACCACTGCAATCCGTTTTATTATACTGAACAGCAAGCTTTCTAACTATGTGTTACTTTTTTCCTGCACAGATAAAGGAAAAAAAAATATTCCAAAGGAAGAATTAGCTCTTAGTGCTGAAGATGGTAAATATATTTTGTGTCTGCATGGAAGTTTATTCTTTTTTCGATGTCCTCTGTTTGTTAGTGAAAGATTTTTCCAAAGTTAAGAATTGTGTTTTCCTTGTAGATTGTTTAGCTTCAGCATGACTTAAATGCTTTTGTAGATTTTATTGTGTTATTTTATTCTTAAGTCATGTACTTATTTTATGTCCTACTGTTCCTGTAGAAACTGTGCCATCTATCAGTGCATTTCAGGTTTTGATCATTTTGCGTATGAAAAGGTTAATAAAGTCTTTGAGAGCCTTGAATATTCACCCAGTTGAAAGACTGATGCCATTTAAAAATTAAATTTGCCTGTTCATCTGTTGTGTTGTAAGGTGAAAGATTGACTTTTCCTCACACAGAACACCCTTCAGAATACATCTGTTGAAAACGAACCTCTCCAATTCCCTTTGTCAATCCAGCAAAGTAGAATTACTTTAAGCAATAGATGAGTCACTGGACTGTAACTTTGCTTTGAAATAGAGAGCTGAGTGGTAGACCCTACTGAAAATACGCTGTAATGTTAGTCTGGAATATGCGGTTACTTAGCAGAAAAAAGTGGCATTTTTTTGGAGTCGAATTTATGGAGGGTGCAATTTTGGAAACATAGGCAACACAATCAAACTGAGGAAACAGAATCAAGCAAGTCCTCTTGAAAATTCCATTCACGTTTTTGATTCGCTTAGCTTGTACGCTGTTGTTCCCTTCGTTATGATCCAGCTCCTTGGGAGAGCGATGTAAACCAGAAAAATACAGGGTCTTGGGAAAGCTTGAGACTTTCCACACATAAAATATATTGATACTATTTATAACATTGCAAAGTTTTTGCTCCTGAGTGACTGTTGTCAATACTGCACTGAGCAGATCTGAAACCTGATCAACCTCGAGAGAGGAATGGAAATGCAGCAGGAAGTGAGTAGCAGGATTCTTTCACTAGGCAGTGAAGAGATTTCTCCACTGATACCTAAACTAATAAATTAAAAATCTTTTTTTTTTTTTTAAAAAAATAACTAACAAGTTATACACCTAGACTAAATGCTTGCCAAATGGGAAACTACATCTAACTGCATACTGACAGTAACTGATATGTTTAGTGCCAGTTGAGCTTCAATGCCAAAAGCTTTGGAAGAGCTTGACTTATGCTTTGCAAACAATCCCGTCAGGGATTTTTTTAAATGCTTAAATTTATGCAGTAGTTGAGTGTCATTGTAGGTGGCTGTTGCTAAATGATTCCATGCTAGCAGATACTGAGTATTGGCGTATTTTGCAATGTGCATCCAGTGCAAACGCCTTTAATATGTGGAATTTTAATATGTTGTTAAATATGAGTAAGGTTGGAGCACAGAAAATTCTGAGAATTGTGGGTTTACTGCAGACAGGATTTTTGCAAGGGTGACTTGTGCACTTAAGCTTTGTACAGTGAAATCATCAAAGAACACAAAAGTAAAGTTCATTAGAGCTACACAAAAGTTGAAGAGATCTGCTGCAAGATATTGGGATATATTATCTAATTACCAAGGAATATTTCATTATATAACTCCCTAGGAATATTTGTAACATCTTTGTTCAGCTCTAAACATGGCTTCATTTACACAAATACTCCTATTGCCATTAGTGAGACTGAGTAGATAAGAGAGCAGCTGGCTGGTATACCAACTTTTTACCAAGAACTTACGGTGACTTTATGTCAACAGTAGTAAGGTTAGTGTATAAACACGCTCAGCCTTGTTCTAGAAAGAAAAGCTGAAAAGTAAACTGATTTTTTTTTCACTGTGTTTGATCAGAATTTTCTTGTGGCGCCTGTATTTGTACATGATGTCTTGCAACATGAAAACTTTTGCCAGACAAAACACTGTGGCCAGGGTTACAGGGGATGTCAAAATAGATTGTCCTAGCCATAGCTTACGTGAGTCTGATGAAGGGAAGCTTGCATCTAAGTTGTAAACTGGTTGTGCATGTGCATGTGTTTTATCTGAAGTTGTTTGTTTCTAACCATTCCCTGCTATGGAATCTCACTCTTTCGATGTACAAACGTATTTTTGAAACTTTTGAACTGCTGCTGCTCTTTAGTTTCCGCAGTGCCTCCAGAGCCCGAGAAGCTGTTCTCGAATCCTGAAAAACTCAAAGGACTGAGCAAGTCAGTACCATCATTCCTACAGGACGAGGTAAGTTTTGTGTTCAAAATAATGTAACTACAGCTTTCCTTTACTGTGGTATTATACATTAGGCAGATAGTAGTTTTCAGGGTTTGCCAAGTTTTCTATTGAATAAGTTTGTAGAGCAACTAGGAGGAGGTGATGACAAGCAGCAGCAGTCTGTGGTTGATTGATTGTTCAGAAATTTTTAGCTCACTAACCACAGATTTTTTCCTCCTGTACAACTTGACATATAGAGCATGTTTTATCTCAGAGGCTGACACAAGCAGCAGCAGACTGTGGTTGATTGAACGTTCAGAAATTTTTAGCCCACTAACCACAGATTTTTTCCTGCTGTACAAGTTGACATATAGAGCATGTTTTATCTCAGAGGTTGAAGCATTTTTTTTCCAGAGTGTACAGTGTTTATAGGCTAAAATAAGCCTGCAAGACTGTATGCACTATGGTGGAATGGCACCATCTGGTGACCCTTCTCAGAAAGGTATTCACTTGATGTTCTCTCCAGGGATCTGGATTTGGGTACCTGGCTGTCTTTCTCTATGTAAATAACCTTATTTTCCAACAACATACTGTGACTTTTTACGTAGCCTTAATTTAGTTTGTATACTTTATTTAAAAAAAAAAAAAAAAACTACAGTGAGGGGCCTTGGAAATGTGAGTGTTAACTGAGAGCTTATTCCCAATCTGACACTGATGTTTGAGGGTGCCTAGTCTTCACTCTGCCAACAGTGGGTGGATAGAAGTGTGGAGGCTGTAAATGGGCCAAGCACCAAGCTCCTAACATGTGCATCTGAAGTAGAGAGGCTGAGTGTTTCTATACAGATATTCTTCACTGGTCACAGGGCATGCAGAACAGGAAATTCTTCAGCACTGTTAAATTTGGATAATGCAATAGGTCCCTGCAGTTTTCTTGTGCACTTCAGTAAATGATTTACATGTGAATTTGTGTGGCTACTGTGCACATGAAACCCCCTCTCCTGCCCTGCAAGCTGGCAGCAAATCCAAGTTACAGGCACTGTCTTCCAGGTCTCCCAAATGGTAGTATGAACACCTAAGTCCTGTCAATGATGGATCTGCATTAGTGGACACAGGAATAGGTGTGACACAGGAATTTGGGTCATAAATACCACAAAAAGGCTGTTATTAACCTGAGGAATGGTTACAGTGCTTATTCCATCAGTATTGCTATGACAAGAGTCAGCAGAAGTATCAATATTTTGGGTTGTTTCTCTAAAAACAAGCGGCTGACAGGGCCGAAGGGTCACCTTCAGGACTATGCTCTGCCCTGCCTTCCCCTGCTCTTCCTCTGAAAGTTTGAACTATCCAAAATGCAATGAAACAGCTTTCTTCAAGTGCAGAAGTCAATACCGTTCAGTGTCTATGGACTACACCTCTTTAAGTAAAGATTCTGTAAAATTACAGCCTTTCAATGCCTTTTTTTTTAACTCTCTAAAGCAGTACACAGTGGACAAGTCAAAAGATTAGTAGCTCAAAGTGTTGGAGCTGGCATACCAAGCAAGTTTGAAATGTGCAGCTGGGCATCTAAAAATAACCAGTTAAAGTTTCTGGTTATTAAATCAGTTAAAAAATTGACTGAGGTGGTTTCTGAATGAAGCAGTCTAGTACTAGACTGCAGTCTAGAAACCACGGACTGTACATCATCTGGTCACAGTAGAAATGGTTTTAAGATGGTCATTTGTGATATTCTAAGAAATTCTCAGTACTCAAATCTGTTAATCTGTCCTCCAAATTGGTCTTTAAAAAGGTAACTAGTCTTAAAACTGTCTTGTAATACCTCTTTGATTTTAGCTTGATAAGACGTGGTTTGTATATTATATAGGTGTAGTCAGAGAAGCTATGATAACAAAATGCTTATAATGACTTATTCAAAAACATTTCTATAAATATTATTTTTAAAAAGTTTGTAGAAAATAATGTTTACCAATTGCATCTGCTAATGGAAGGTCTGCAACTGCTGCAGTATAAAGGAGGGGGAAAGCCTTGACATATGTTCACAGCTGGAATATGGGGTGGTAGCTTGGGGTAGCGTGTGGAGGTTACGGAGACGTCGTGTCTTTTGTCTAGGGAAGACATGGAGACAGAATGAGTTTGTGAGCACACAGTCTGACCAAGTAAACCCAAACTATAGTTTCTGCTTGCTCCCTTGCAATAAAGGTGTTTTCCAAAAGCCAGTTGTTGTATTCAGTGCTCTTCTACTGTGCATGGTATCTCCCAACTAACTGTCCTAAAGATAGAGAATTGAGAAGTGATGGAAGTGTGTGTGTAACAGAAATGGCCCTTTCTGTAAGCAGAAAGGGCCTGGTGAAAGGTCTGAGCATCATCATTTGCAAAATTTTATTAATAGTGTAGTGAAAATGAGATTAATTGTCCCAATAAAATTAACTTTTAACTTTCTGTTGCTATTTGAGATTAAAGAAAGAGAGGGTAGTTGCATTACTGCCTCAAAAAAGGCTTTCCATCTGAAAAATTCCCTTTCAACATTTTTGTAAGTGTGTGAACTTTTAAAGAACATATTGATTATTAATGTTGTGCTCCTAGGGGGGTTAAATTCAGTTTTTTACAAGTCCCAATGTGCATTTTTTAAATTCTGTTTTATAGTTATTAAATGTTTCTTATGACTGCATAGTGCCTACATAGACTTTCTTTCTGTGATGTTTTTTAGAGTGATGACAGAGAGACAGATACAGCATCAGAAGGCAGTTATTCCTTTGGCAGAATCAAGAAGAGTCCCAGCTCTCTAACCAATCTTAGCAGCTCTTCTGGCATGGCCTCCTTATCCTCTGTATGTAAACCAAAGCCTTGTTTTAATGGCACTTTGCTTGCACTAATCTCTCCTGCAGCATTCCACTTGCTTTCTCATTCCCCTTATCTTTCCTTCCTTGGCATCTTTGTCTCCTTCCTTCCTTCCATCTGCCACATGAATCCTTGCATGGAGTTCCTTTAGCAACAAAACCAAATGCCCAAAGCCACTGTTATGGTATATAAATGGAACCTGTTAATTCTACTTTTCTTTTTTAAAGATCGATATTGTTGCATTGTTGATTCCTCTAAGGAGTATTGGATGGATCATATTTTGTGTTTAGTATAGTTGTATACTGGAGCCTGCTCAGGACTCCACTGTGCTGGGAACTCTACAAAGAAAATACTGAACCAAGAGATGTCTCTTTACACAAAGAGCTTACAGTTGTAGCACAAAATGAGGGGCAGTGTGCACAAAGCAAGTGTTAAGAAAGGGAGCAAGAGAAAAAAGACTAAGTGAAAGGTGACAGTACTGGTGTGGGGCAGTGATTAAGTCAGTGACTGGTCAACCAAAAGTCATTAGGTTATGTGCACTTCATGGGAAAATAAAAATTTGGGGGAAAGATAGAGATTTTTTTGTAAAAGAAAAATACCTCCCCTTTTTTACTCCATCTAGGTTTAGTTTTCAAATATACGTTATTCAGACATTTAACTCAATCTCATAAAGACTTCATTTGTAATTTTTTGTTGTTCTTGTTGTTGTTATTTTCAGAAGACCTGATTCCTTAAAGTCTAGGCTCTGAAAAAATCAGTTTGAAAGAGATATTTAAAATATCTGATCACAGGCGGTCAACTTTTGTGCAGCATCCTGTCATTTTACTTCTATCTCAATGTCATATTCACATTTTTATAGCAAGATTGGCCTAACACCTTTGAAAGTTATAAGTAATATTCTTTGTTAATCTGCTTGCTGAGAAGCTTGTATAATAGCCTCCCTCATGTTTCTTAATTACATCTTAAAAGGCCACAGCTGATTTCTTTGCTGTCTCAATTCTGAGCAGAACTTCTACCCTGATCTTGAAGTATCTGGCCAAATTCAAAACCTAAAAACTTTTCCTCCTCTTCTTTGATACAGGTAAGCGGGAGTCTAATGAGCATCTATAGTGGAGACTTTGGCAGTGTTGATGTGAAGGGGAACATCCAGTTTGCTATTGATTATGTAGAGCAGCTGAAGGAGCTCCACGTTTTTATTTGCCAATGTAAAGACTTGGCAGTGGCAGATGTTAAGCAACAGCGTTCAGATCCGTAAGTATAACTAGACTATATGTATTTTTCCTGATAGAAGTTTATTTTAGTAAATAAATGAAGAAAGCTCCTTTTTATTTTTATCACTATCATATGTTGGATTAAACAACCAAATAAATGAATGAAGAGGCTATAATATGCTTTCCATGGTTGTTGCCTCTTTGAAACGAATACAGAATCACCACTGTAAATTACTGCATATATTAGCTTTGGAAGCTGAAACCTTTAATAATATGAAACTCTACTCTTAGGTTTTAAATTTAACTTTCTGGATGGTCAGTCTTGTTTTGATAGGTGTCCAAGAGAGTAAGAGCCTGTAAATGTTAGATCTGTGCATACTGTATTTAAGCATTGTGCATTTGTGTGGGTTAAGGAGAAACTCCAACAGCTTCTGTGATTCTTCCTGACAGAGAAAGGTTATGTCCTATTTTGGAAAAATAAGCACTATTTATATAACTTTTAAACCACTCTTTTAGATAGCACAAGCTTAACAAATAATGACTAGTGAAATGGAATTACTTTATTTTATAAAACCATTGTATTTTATTTTTCACTCACTTGTGTATTTTGAATGGGGAAGTTGGAAGGGGGGTTTTTTTTTTTTTTCTTAATCTACCTGTTTAAATTTTAGGTATGTAAAGACTTACTTACTTCCAGAAAAATACAAGCTGGGCAAGCGGAAGACCTCTGTGAAAAAGAAAACTTTCAATCCAGTCTACAATGAAATTCTGCGGGTATTTATCGAACTGTTACTAGACAAAAACCCCGGTGATATGCATGAAATATTATGAACTTTTCAGTTCAAGTCCAGATGCTCTCAAAACAGGTGTCTGTTTATTAAAATGAGATGCTTTGCTCCATAAAAGTACCTGTTTCTTTCCACTAATGGATACAACATGGAAACTTTGCTTTGCCTATAATATTTACAAACAGACCCAAGTATGAACTTAAAATGTTTTAAAATAAGATTAAGACATGAAAAGAGCTTTGTTTTGAAATTAAGAAATGATTAGTTATAGTTGTATGAATCCAGGCTTATCTTCTCCAACCTTACCACTTTCAGACAAGACTTTGATTAAGTTCCCACTGCTTCTTTCTTTCTTTCCTTTCTCCCTCCTGGCAGTATAAAATCGAGAAGTCGGTCCTAAAGAACCAAAGGCTCAATATCTCTGTCTGGCACAACGACACCTTTGGGAGGAACAGTTTCCTTGGTGAAGTGGAGCTAGATTTGGGAACGTGGGACTGGAATGATAAAACAAACAAGCAGATCAACTGGTTTCCACTTAAGCCAAGGGTAGGTTATTAAAGTTGGGTTATTTGGGTTGTATTTTTCACTGTGTAAGTGCAAGACCAAGTGACTGTCTACTCAGGCCTTATGTTCTGCAGGTCTTTCAAGCAGAGAAAATAATTTTTGTACTCTTTAGAATCATTTCATTCACTTTAGTGAACAGAAAATACAATTCTGAGGCTTCCATTAGTATAGTAATAGCCAACTATTTTAATAATACACAAAAATTTCTCAAAGACTAAGGAGTGGGAATTTCAGGCTCATACTTCATTATGTCTTGTTGCTGCAATAGATATATAAGGGCACTTGTTTTCTGAATATATAGTAGGTCTACTGAGAATATGTATCCAGTTTAGCACTGTCAAGTGCTTAGGCTTGCCTTTAAATCTCTCAATGTCCTGTGAACTGATCCAAGACAGAAGGGTAAGAAAACAAGAAAAAAAATCTCTTGTAGAAGTCCAGCTTGTTTCTGCAGGAAAACTTTGCACAGTAAACTGTGAGTGTGAACTGGAAGGTTTGTGGGTTGTGATTATTTATTTATTTATTCATTTGCTTGTTTTTATTATTTCAGGCTTCAATGATGGCTCTTGAACTGGAAAACAGAGGGCAAATGAAAATAGCCCTCCAATACGTCCCACAGCCTGTTGGAGGTACACATTACCTTTGTTTGGGTTTGACAGGCCTTTGGGGGATTGGGGCTTTTCTTTTTAAAAACAAATCAAAGCAAAACAAACAACAACCCTTCAGCCATCTTTTTTAATATAAAAGCATAAATTTGTCTTGAGGGTCAGTTTCGTCATTAATTCAGTGTAGGATCCAAGGCCATTTTGTTGTCTTTATTGTTGTTACAGAAGAAATTTTAATGTTGTGGTTATAATTGTTGTAATCTATTAGGTCTGAAATGCAGTCTGTGCAGATAACAAAGTGTCTAGTTCCAATATAAGTAGAAAAATCTCATTAGAGAACTTGGCAAATGTCTTGAGGTGGTGAGAGCAGAACAAGACCTTTCCTTTCTAAAGTAGGGTGGAGGGGGAACTTAGGATACAGATGAATTAGGACCTTCAGGCATCTATAGTAATCACCCTGATAAGCTTCTGAGTCTTTAGAAAGGCAGTAGGGGTAAAAATGACTGTTGAAGATGAGAAAAGGTCAAAAGTAATTAGACTAAGGTAAAAGACAAAAAAAAAAAAAAAAGAAAAGGAAATGAAGGTTTAAGAGTGTTCTTTTTTTCCCTAAATTCCTGTTCATGGCGGGAAGAAAGTACTACGAAGAACAAATAATACTTCATTCAGTTTTAAATAAAAATAATACTGTGTAGTTGCAGAACGGTTTGTGACAGAAAGGGTAGAATACCCCATCCAATTGGAAGCAGAGAGGTTGTGTCCAGAGTAAATTTGGAAAGACATGCTCTCAATTTTCATGATAAATGTTTTTCCCAAGTTTGAAAGATTTCTTATTTAGCAGTTTTATTCTCCATCCTCTCTCTCTCTCATGCATTGTGCAGAGTTTTTACCAAATATTGTACTGGGAGGAAGTATTCAGTACTGCTGTATGTCTCCTGTTCTGTTTTTAAGGAAAAAAGATTCCAACCACTGGTGAGGTCCACATCTGGGTGAAGGAATGCCATGACCTTCCTCTTCAGAGAGGCAACAGGCTCAACTCTTTTATTAAGTGGTAACAACTGTGGTTATAAACATCACATGCAGTGACCTAATAATGCTTTCTAATCCTCCATTTTTTTTCTTTAAATTTAAATTAAATAACATGTAATTAGTGCAAATCATCCTGCAGGACTGACTTAAACCTTCAATATGCTAAGGATATTGGGAGGGAGAATATTGAGCTGGAATCATTTCTTTTATAGTCCTTATGCTTTCACTTTATTTCCTTAGCTGTTTAGTGGGATGGCTAGTCAACATTAAATTAGGTCTTACGTCTGCTTTTAGCTGCACTTAAACACAAAAGGTTGTTGTGAGAGTATGGTTTAGCTTAGCAAATCACAGGAGACAGGAAGGAGAGGCGCGGTTGTGTTTCTTCCTCCTGCCTTTCCACAAACACATTAAAA